AATTTATCCAAGTTGTGAATCCTGTCATGTGAAGTCCATTGCTTCTGTCTGCAAACTTCTGGCACTTCTGTTGTCGTGATGTTACTTCAAAATAAAAGCGCATAAGCCGTCTGTCGGAGCTAGATCAAATGAATGACGTGTAATTGATATATGATAGTTTTTATATAAGTATTATTCTGTTATAAATGTTAAATAAACTGTTTCATAGTAGTTTCAGTTTTGTGCAAAAGGAATTAAAGGCCTGTCCCAAATATAGGCAAGGTCAATTCAGTGATTTTAGCAAATAAAAGCCCGGGCTGCTATTCAAAGTTTTACGGTATTTTAATGTGTTGGGATTGAGGATTATGTGCGGGGGTGAGGCAGTCCCCGTCAGTCTCTCTTGCAACAACGGACCACTACTTCTACCCAGTTTGACAGGTGAATTGGTGTTGAGCAGGAGGAATGTTGTGGACAGGTAGAGGGGTCCCATAGCATTGTGTCCTGGATGGCAGTGCTGAAGCAGGCAACTTGTTTGGCCTGTCCTAAATCCACATCCATGAAGTCAGTTGAGAGAGTTTCAACATCCAGACAACTGTGTTCCCATGCACCACACATGGCTGATCTTCCAGACCCAGGACAGAGAAATAGACAGTTTCCCCACACAATATACAGACAGTTTGTAGTGTGGCAATAAGGAGCACTTGGACAGGGTCACAGAGTCGTGATACTGAGTTGCTGTGTCTGGAAGATAAGCGACTATTATCCTGATCCACTAGAACAAAACAGCGGTGATACCCGAGTAGGGAGTAAGATGTAATGTCATTAACTGCTATACAAATAGTTTCATCAATAGATGTTCTGGTAATATTTTCATTCTTTTTAAATAAAATATTTTCTGTACACTTGCAGCATAAACAATCAGAAGCTACATTTATATCTTGTGTCTCAAATAATGACAACCAAATCATATGTATCACATATTTTATTACTACACTACTAATACTACAACCAATATCCAGGTACGTGATTGGCAAAGGGCAAAAAAGCAGGAAAATATACTGAGACCCCCCCCCCCCTCCCCTTCCACATCAAAGTGGCTGCGGCTCTATTATAACATGGATAGTAAAGCAGTCAACTCTGACAGCGGGCGTGAGACGAGAACGACCGCGACAGTTTCACGGGATTGCGGCAGTTACGCAGAAGCCGTTGCCAAGGTTACCTCGCGGAGCGCTTGTTTGCCTGTCTGTTGATGAGGAGCGCGGAGCAACCCGTGTGAAAACCCTGTCACAACCATTCACAAGAAATTAATTTATAATGAGCCAAAACCTTTAACATAATGACGACTAAAAAAGCAACCATTCATACAGAAAAGTGTATGTAGCCTATATGACTGATCAATCAACAACAATGTCAAAGTAAACAATAGCCTATAACAAGCAATAATTAAAACATACCCAATTTATCCGATCCTTATTGTCAACTCAGTGTTAGGCAAGTTACACAGAAATAATATAGTTATTACCTACTAGTTACTTAGCATATACTCCTTTAAAAAAAAGTAATATTAGCTACTCTGCTTACTACTGGGTGATATAACGCCACTCTCTCCCGACGAGTCCAAGCATCACTGGCAGCAGCGGCCGGAGTTTCTTTCTCAGTTTCACGGTGCTGTGTTGCTTTAGCTGATGCTTTAATTAAGTATAGATGTAGAATTGTTCGTGATTGAAAGCTTTTTACTGGTCGCACAAAGTTTACAACGGACAATGTTCTTTGCATCTTAGACTGTGACACAATATTGGCCATAACGTTACTTACAGCAGTCGAAAATACCGGTCTCTTTCTCCCTGTTCTCCAGTCTTCCTTTATCATTTTGGCTAACAGCTGACTTTTACAAAAGGTCTGGTGCCGCTGAGCTGCCGCGCAGTCGCACATTCACGTCAGAGATGGTGCGTTCAGTAGCGCAGTGTTACTGATTAGTAACTGTAATAATATATAACTGTTTAGGAAATGGCAATCCGTTACATTACTCTTTACTGGAAAAAGTAATATTTCTATTCAATTCAATTTTATTTATATAGCGCCAAATCACAACAACAGTTATCTCACAGCGCTTTTCATAAAAGAGCAGGTCTAGACCGTACTCTATGATGTTATTTACAGAAGCCCAACAATTCCCACCAAGAGCAGCACTAGGCGACAGAGGCAAGGAAAAACTTCCTTTTAAGAGGCAGAAACCTCGAGCAGAACCATGGCTCAGGGTGGGCGGCCATCTGCCTCGACCAGTTGGAGAGAGAGAGAGGAGAGGAGAGAGAGAGATGTTGCTATAGACTAAATGAAAAATGGACAGATATTTAAAGTATTGTTAATGATTATAATAATAGGACTAGTAACAATAGTCGTTGCAGCAGAGGGTGTCGAGCAGGAACACGGGGGCAGCAGGTGACTCGCAGCCACAGATCCAGACTCCACAGCTCCAGAGCCAGAAAACCTGCAGGAAGTGATAGGAGGAGAGAGGAGAGGGACGAGAAAGCACAAGACTACCAGAAAGGGGAGAAGTTGTGTTAGTAACATGCAATAATGGGATAAGGTTGCATACAGAGGGAGAGAAAGTAGAGGAGAGAGGAGCTCAGTGCATCATGGGAAGTCCCCCGGCAGTCTAGGCCTATAGCAGCATAACTAAGGGATGGTTCAGGACTCACCTGAGTCTCTACTTTTAGGGACAATGGTATGGTCCAGGGTTTGTTTTATTATTTATTATTTTTACCGTATTCCAAAATGCTTTTGAATTCGCACCACAAAGTGTGAACTGTTCTTAAAAAAAAGCCAGCTTTAGCCTCCCTCACTGCTTGTGTGGCCTTGTTCCTGATTTGACGAAATAAAAGGTTGTCTTTGGCAGAATGTGACTTGCGTGCTCTGCGCCATTCTATTTTTTTTTTTTGCTGAAGCAGAACAACTAGATCACAATTAATCCATGGCTGTTGTGTTTTTTTATGCGTATCTTTTTGCTTGGGGCATGTTTGTTGATCACAGCAATAAGAAGATCTTTAAACAACAACCAAGCATCATTCACAGTGGGAATCAGGCTGACTCTATACCAACTTACTTGGGCCAGATCACATAAAAAAGCTTGAGCATCAAAATGTTTCAGAATACGTTTAGTGGTGATTACGACAGGCTGTTTGACAGAAAGGTGTTTTCTAACACAAGCAATGAAACAGTGGTCGCTGAAGTCATTGCAAAAAACACCCGATAGGTACATGAGTAGGGCATTTGTAAACATCTATCAATGTGGCCTTGTCACAACATTTTGGGTTGTATCTGGTAGGTAGATTTATGATTTGGTGAAGGTTTAGGCAGTCAAATTGTTGTAGAACTTTCTCAGGGGGCTTAAGCAAAGCCCAGTTTAGGTCGCCAAGTATAATCAACTCAGACCTAGTGAAAGGCGCAAGAGCTTTGCTTAAGGCCTCTAGGGTGCATGCTGGTGCAGATGGAGGACGATAGCAATCAGCCACAGATAAAGAAAAGCTGTTTGATAGTTAATTTTAAGAACAAGTAGATCATGCTGTTTGGGTATAGACTTTGCCAGGGCTATGCTACATTGAAGATGTTCTTTGGTGAAAATTGCACCCCACCACCCTTAGATGACCTATCCTGCCGATACAGTTGGGTCAGAAGAAGGATACCTGACAGAACCCCATGTTGACGAGGATCACCAGATCTCCTGGTTCTGCTTCTAGGCATCTCCTGAGTAGCAGACAACCATTGGAGGAGGAAAGCTGTAATTCTTCTCCACCTACAATGAGTACAAGTCCACTGGACTTTTTGTTGTACTCCTTGCTGTACCTGGCAATACACAAAGGACAGGTCAGCTTAGTGAAAAGTCTGCAAAACCTGAAATTGATCTCTTATACAGCAGTTAGCATTTCCGTTTAATATTTTTTGACTCATCAGTTATAAATGTATTGAGTAAAATATACTGATGAAGTTCATGGTTATAAAACAACAAGAGTAGAAAAAAAAAACATACAATACTTTCTGGTTATATAATTCATGTCATAACAGCACCAATTACAGTAAAATATTTTCACACATTAGGTTTAACAGTATATAATGTCAAACTATATAATAAGTAGCTTACATACCAGAAACGCAGATACTTGGTGACGACCTGTAGCCAGAGTTATTTATGTAACGTTACACTAAAGTTGATGTGTCCTTCTCAACTACAAAAATACCACAAGTGTCAAATGTCTCGTTCAAAGATATGACTGATTAACATACAGTCAAACAACACTTGCTCACAACTACATTGCAGACACAAGATAATATTAAACGCACAGATTAGATACAACATAAAGGTAGGTGTATACATAGGTTGAATAAATAAACCAGTGCAGGCACCGACGAACATATACACACAGCTTACAAAACAGATGACACTAGGTATAAATAAAAATAGCTGTTTGACAAAATCTGCTAGCGTACATCTACATTGTCTTACCTAATGTATGTGTTGGATAACTTCTCCCCCAGCCCTCAACTGGGCTGCTGTTTTCTAACTCAACTGCAGCTCCTGAGGATTCATGGCATACTTCATGGCTGGCCTCACCAAGTACACCAACACTGTCGTAACTACCGTTAGCGGCAACTTACACTAGCTACAGCTAGGTAGCTAAGTTGGCTTGCGATAAATACTTAAAAGAAATTACCATCAAAATGAAAAAAAGCTAGCTTACTTGTCTAGCCGAAATAAAGCGACCATGGTGTCACTTTTCAGTCCCTTGGGGTCCCACAGTTATAGCCTTCGTTAAAATAAGTCCTGCACATATTGCCTCGGGTTTGACCTCTCCCAGCCTCGTCAGAAATTGGAGAGCTGATGTAGGCGGGTCCACTAGCAGCAGGCTTGGTAGCCTTGGTAGTGAGGTAGAGTGACAGTCACACAGCCAATAATTAGCATTTGGTCTGAATGGAACATGTGTCTGTGTTTATTGCAGCCCTGTGAGGACTACAGACACTCGATTATTTTCTCTCTTTTTCAGAGCACTTAAGCTTAGCCACAGCAGTATTTAAGTAAAGAGTTGTCTGATAAACAAAAGCAGTTCCAACTCGCCAGGCTTCTCTCCGGCCTGCTAGCAACCAGCCTGCACTCCAGTCAGTTAGGCCCACGTTGTCCCTGCCTTTCCTGAGTTGGCTAGCCAGCCCACCTGTTCTTGATTTGGCAACCTGATGCTTGCCTTCCCTGAGGAGCCGCAGCCATTGCCCTGCAATACACCCTGAGACAATGCTACTGCCCACTGACATAGTTTTAAAAGGTATTGAGATCCACTTTTTGCTCTTCAATAGTCACAGAATGCACATACCTAGATTAGGCTAACTAAGAACCCCACTAGCAAGCTTTATGATCCTCTGTTTTTCTTAAAGCCTGCATGCTGCTCTGAAAGTAAGGTAAGGCAAGTTTATTTGTATAGCACATTTCAACAACAAGGCAATTCCAAGTGTTTTCTATTAAACATAAAAGCAACATAGGGAAATTGAAAAAATACACATTAAAATATAATTTTGGTGAAATAGAAAATAAAAACAGGATTAAAAATATAACAATAGTAATTATAAACAGGGTAAAACAGGACAGTAAAAGTTACAGTGCAGTGTACAATCAGGGTTAAAAGAGTTAAATTGAAAATAAAAACAGGCTAAGTGGTTGAGCAAATAATTGAGTTAGGGTGCTTTCACACCTGTAGTTTGATTCATTTGGTCCGGATTGCATTTCAGTTCTGGTCCGGTTCATGTTCACACTGCAGTTTTACAAACCAACCAAGAGAATTAACCATGACGTTACACAGACATACAGGTGACTTATTGACAGTTGATTGAACAGCTTTGGCAATTGTCATCCTGCATCATCAGGACCCACGTGGGGAAATCAAACTGTGACTGACAGACATTTGTGCAGGACTTTAATGCTTCTGATCTGTATCACAAAGAGTTCACAAAGTAATAATTTATTATAAGCATGAATGGTGGCCTAATGTTAGATTGACCGCATAATAACGTAAAAACAGGACATGTACAGTAATAACTCTGAGCTTATTCGCCTATAGTATAGGCCTACTGTGGTATCGCTGTCACACATTTTTTATGGACTTAATGAACTGACAGGATAAACAGATTTTAACCTATTAATCAGTGAAATACCTGCACTGGCAAGTAGGCTATACCTTATAAAATGATTTTCATAAACATAGTGACTTACCATTAACCAAACTAAATGAGGTAGGTGTGAAAGCACCCTTAATCTACTCTCTATAGCTAGTCTGTACTCGGGTCCAAAGCAATCTTCGGGTCCACTGAAACTCCAAAAACCCTCGGACACTACAGAGAAACCAGGACATGTCTGTCCGCAGGCCACTTCGATCAAGTTATACTCTGGACCCACCTGCGTGTTTGCAAGTGGACAGAGGTTCCTGCAAATCACTCAGGCGTGAGATTTAAGACCACTTCCTTCACTCTGTTCAATCTCACTCTCATTATCTTTTCACTCAATTACCTACTCATTTCTCACCGTGTAAATATTCAATTAAAGGCAGTGGTAAAAAGAAAAGTCTTAAGTCTTAATTTAAAAGAACTGACAGTTTCAGCAGACCTGCAGTTATCTGGGAGTTTGTTCCAGATATACGGAGCATAATAACTGAACGCTGCTCTCCTTGTTTAGATTTGACTCTGGGGACAGAAAGCAGACCTGATCCCAGACAACCTGAGAGGTCTGGATGGTTCATAACGAAGCAGAAGATCAGAAATGTATTTTGGCCCTAAACCATTTAGTGCTTTATAAACAGCAGGATTTTGAAATCAATTCTTTGACATACAGGAAGCCAATGTAAAGACCTCAGAACTGGAGTGATGTGATCCACCTTTTTGGTCTTAGTGAGGACTCGAGCAGCAGCGTTCTGAATCAGCTGCAACTGTCTGATGGATTTCTTAGGGAGCCCTGTAAAGACACCATTACAGTAGTCGAGTCGACTGAAGATAAATGCATGGATAAGTTTTTCCAGGTCTTGCTGAGACATAAGTCCTTTAATCCTTGATATATTCTTCAGGTGATAGTAGGCTGACTTTGAAATTGTCTTAATGTGGCTCCTCAAATTCAGGTCTGAGTCCATGACTACAAGATTTCTGGCTTGATTTTTGGTTTTTAACATTACAGATTGAAGCTGAGCACTGACTTTCAATCGTTCTTCCTTGGCTCCAAAAACAATAACTTCAGTTTTATCTTTGTTTAATTGAAGAAAATTCTGGTACATCCAATTGTTGACCTGCTCAATACAGTTACTCATTGCTTGTATGAGATCATAGTCCCCTGGTGAAATGGTTATATAAATGTGTGTCATCTTCATATTTATGGTAACATATTTTGTTGTTTTTCATAATCTGAGCAAGTGGAAGCATGTAAATGTTAAACAAAAAAGGCCCCAGAATGGAGCCTTGGGGAACTCCACATGTCATTTTTGGTAGCTCAAATGTGTGATTACCTATAGACACAAAGTAATCTCTGTCCTTTAAGTAGGATTTAAACGAGTTTAGTACTGTGCCAGAAATCCAACCCAGTTTTCAAGTCTGTCTAGTAATATGTTGTGGTCAACCGTGTCGAATACTAAGACTGACATTTTGCCAATGTCAGTGTTTAAATGAATGTCATTGAAGACCTTAACAAGAGCCGTCTCAGTGCTGTGGTGTGGTTGAAATTCTGATTGGAAGACATCAAAACAGTTATTTAGTGCCAAGAAAGCATTAAGCTGTTGAAAAACAGCCTTTTCAATGATTTGACTTAAAAATGGGAGATTTGATATGGGCCTATAATTGCTCATTAGTGACCTGACTAGATTGCTCTTTTTTAAGAGTGGCTTAATGACTGCAGTTTCAGGGCCTGTGGGAAAATACCTGAGGAGAGACATGTTGACAATTTGTAGTAGATCTGAGGCCATGCATTAAGAAATATATTTGAAAAAAACCTGTTGGCAGAATATCAAGGCAGCATGAGGAGGATTTCAGATATTGTATTATGTTCTCCAGGTTTTTATGGTTAATAGAATCAAATTTTTTCATGCTATATAAATTGTTTTTAAGTGGACACAGGGACAAGACATATCCTGTTACTGACATGGAGGCACTGATTGTTTGTCTAATTGTTTGAATTTTGTCTGTGAAGAAGGAAGCTATTTCATTGCAGGCCCTGGTGGATAGAAGGTCAGAGGCCACAGACACAGGAGGGTTGGTTAGCCTGTCGACAGTAGCAAACAGGACACGTGCATTATTAGTGTTTTTGGTGATGATGTCAGAGAAGAAGTACCGCCTTGCATTTCTCAGTTCTAAGTTATAAATGTGAAGTCTCTCTTTATAGATGTCATAATGAACCTGGAGATTTGTTTTCCGCCACCTGCGTTCAACTATTCGACACTCTTTTGAGTTCTAACCAGCGTGGTATTTCTCCATGGAGATCTTCGCTTACCAGAGACCACCTTCATCTTGGCTGGTGTATGGCATCAATAACATTTGTAATTTTGGAACTGAAATTATCTAAGTTCATTCACTGAGACCTGTGAGAGGGCGGGTGTCGAGGAGAAATCCTCAATAAATTATATATATATATATGCGGTTTTGTGATTACCTGTTTGTACATTTGTGTGCAGATAGCACTCTCAAAGAAAACACAGGAATGATTAGAGAGAGCAACATCAGTCACCACAACCTTGGAAATGTTCAGACCCTTGGAGATGACCAAGTCCAAAGTGCGCCCCTTATTGTGTGTGGGCTCTGTCACATGTTGAGTCAGTCCATAATTATCAAGAACACAAGACAGTTCTTTAGTCCCTCTGTCCTGGGTGTTGTCAACATGGATGTTAAAATCACCAACAACAACCACACAGTCAAAGTCAATACAGATTATAGACAGCAGTTCACCAAAGTCATCAAAAAAGTTTGCACAGTATTTAGGGGGCCTGTAGATATTTAGAAAAATAGCTTGAGAAGAGGAATTCAGCTGAAGAGCCACATATTCAAAAGAAGCAAAATTCCCATAAGACATCTTTTTGCATTGGAAAGGACCCAGATAGCAGCTGACTCTGGGCCGGATCCGCCTCCAAACCGGCAGATCCGTGTAACAGTAACGCCCGTTTTACTGCCCCGTTCCAGATACGGCCCGCATGTAGTCTGTGTACACTCAGGAGTGGGCGTGAGCATCCATCAGTCGGCGGAATCATAATAGTTCTGGCCCGGACTCGTCAGAACGAGCGCGCGAATTGTTTCTTTTTTTTTTCTTTTGAACCGGTTCATACCGGAGCAGAAGTCAGTCAGCGGAATCGTAGTTGTTCTGGCCCGGGGCCGTCGGAACGAGCATGCGAACTGTTTCTTTCTTTGGATCAGTTCGGACTGGAAGCTTTGTGGAAAGAGTTTATAACGGTAAGTTGAACGATGTTACAGTCAAACAGTTTAGTGAGATTGTTTTTAATAGTGGTGTAATGCTTGTTAACATCATTAACATCATCACATCGGAATGTTTTGACCGGGTTTTAACTTCTTAAAATGGCTAAAACTGTTGAAGAGGCATTGGCTAACGTTAGCTTTTTAGCTGGGCTAGCTAAATTAACTGAATGAACGGATAGCTAAGCTAGCTAGCATTAATAAACAACTTTGTGTGCAGCTAGCATAAAACATTAATGCTCTTTAACATTAGTTAACTTACAACGATGTAACGTTAGTTTCCAACAGCACCAATTGACAGCACCTGTCTCCTTTTTAGGTTCAATCTTTTCTTCACCCCTGGCTGAGAGCCCGGGATTATAGGGTAAGTTAATTTAAGTATTTTTGGCTTTGATTTTCAAATCTTGGCTATATTTAAGCATAATGTTATAAAGTTATGATAGGTAAGTTAAGTGTTTAAAAAATCAAAGCCATCTAAAGAAGTTGGAATTTTCATCTATTAATCAAAACGTAAATTCATTATGACAAATAAGGTCTATGGGCGGGAAATCGCATCTCTCCGTGTCTTTTCATTGACTTTGTATGAAATCACACCACGGCAATATGGTTGAGGAGCAAAGAAAAGAGAAAAGAAATATTTTAAAGAAATGCTAACAAGAACTCTGTTGATATGTAAGTATTTTAGTATACGTATTATATGTGGAGGTGACTAGTAGATGAGAACGATTTTTATGTAAAATAAAATATTTAAATAGTATATTTTAATATATCAGGGATGTAACTTTAAAGCCAAAAAATAAAAATACTTTGATAGCGGTGGTGAAATAGATCTCAGTCATGACAGCACCGGTTACTCACATAATCACTTCCTCTTTGTAGATTTGCCAGCAAAATAAAAGCACGAGAAGCTTGTTTGCTGTAATGTTTTACATGGAGTTGAATTGAGAGCTTTTACTTTTTTACTAAAC